AATAACAATACGAATCATTCCTGATAAAATTTCAAGCGATTCTTCAAGGAATCTCTTCGGAATCCACTGAAGGAACACGACGAAACGCTTGCAAAAGCGATGAAACTTGATTTCAATTAACGAACCTTTGAGTGTATTCTTCTTCTCGAACAACGTCCCAATTGGAACGATCAAAGTGGATGTCGAGTAACGAACGGCATAATTGCTCAACGCTTCTGTCCGCATCAAAACTGACACGAGCACAGTTCACTGCTGCCTGATAGTTGCGTGAATCAGCCTCTGACGGCCTGTGCACTAAACAAACAATATAAACTATTACTAAAAGTAATAAATTACTGATAATCTAGCCATCAATGAGATACCTACGAGCCATGATCGCCTCCATGAACACCTATATTTTCCAACAAATATACTCAAATTCTTGATTTCAATTAATTAACTGATCTTAAATCAGCAGTTCATAATGCATCCGATAGCATGAATTGGTTGCTTACTACTAGAAATTCTAACAATAAGCATTCATGAGACACGGAAAGTATGGTTATGAATCAACTGCTAACACTGGAATAAATGAAAAACCACCAAAAAATTCTAATCGTTTTTTAAAATTTCATTTGTTGAATGGAACATAGCACTGGAAGAAACACAATAAACAAACACTCTCTAGGAATATATTGATGAAAATTTTAGTAACAAAAAATTTCTAAAACTTATTTGTGAATTCACAAATTGACAATTGACAAATTTTACTGACAAAAATTTTTTGAAAATTTGTTATTTGTAAATAACAAAAAACGAATAGATAGTTTATGCATAAACTTAACAAACAGATCAAAAAATAATTACATACATGATTCAGTGGTTTTGAATTTGTATCGTTTCACACCGGCGTTGATCGATGTTCGTGAACTATTTGTTGGCAGCACACCTTGCGATACCGAGGCCATGCCTCGACATCGAGTGCTTTTCAACAACGACGTCAACAACTCATCCTTATCGCCCACGTCTCCATCCTCTTCTCGATCATGCTGAACAATTTCTTTCGTTGCATTTTTTTTCGTTCCAACACAATTATTGGACTCTAACACCAAATGCACAAAGGATAGTAAACTAATAAGATTGCGGAAAACAAAACTGCATGATAGAACAGATGGAATATTAATGATAATCTAGCGATCAATGAGATATACACGAGTCATAATCGCCTCGATGAACACCTATATTTTCCAAGAAATACATTCAAATTCTTGATTTCAATAAATTGACTAAATCAATCTGGAATCACTATCGATCTCTTTGATAGACCAATGAACTGTTTGCTTCTCCATGAAACATATTTCCACTGAAGCATACAAATGGATCTTTTCCGGTATAAGAATTCCAAAAAGTTTTCCAAGTAGAGACCAAGTCAAATGAGACGAACGACTAGTAACCACCTGAGTGGACGCGTCCATTGCGCATTCATCACTATGATCACTTTCTTCGAGGCCCGATGCTAACTGCGACGTTTTGCGACGTTTTTTTGCACTTCGTGTTAGTGGAGTGGTTGAAGCATCTCTGAAAATAANATCTGGAATCACTATCGATCTCTTTGATAGACCAATGAACTGTTTGCTTCTCCATGAAACA